GGGGGGGGTAAGTGTCGGGGAGATTAAGACGGGCAACCTACAATTCGACGATAAACATGCCAATGGCTGTCATGGAGACAAAAGTGAGCAAGTACCAGCTCAACGGGGCGTCCTTGTACCGACTCATCAGACGGCAGTGAATGTCTTCGCGGCTGATGAGGTTGTCGACGTTGGATGTCGAGGCCGAAAAGCGGCTGTAATTCTCGCTACCCAAGCTCCCCGTTGACGACGAGACTGGGTGTGACTGTGGTTCTGGGACGGGTCGATACGTAGGTTTGCCATTTTGGCGCGCTTCCTCGATGGAATTCTTCCATGTCCGCCATATGTCCTTGCCATGCCAGCAGAAGGTATGGGTGAGAAGAGCAGCGAGGCCGGCGAACTGCATGCCATAGCTGAGCATGTACGTCACGGGAAGGAACACCCTGCTGTACTGTTTATAGGCGTCCCTATCGAAGAGAAATTCAGGGGTCAGGATTTTGCTGACGTCGTAGATTTTACCAGTGTTATCGAAGACACCTGTTGATAGAATTGGCAGGTATGACGTGTAGAGGACATTGGCGTAGTAGAAGACGGGCGCAATGATCCACATGACAATGGCGAGACCGCCGATGACATTCATGGCAGCCCAGAACGGGACCAGGAGAGGGGAGCCAACATATGTGATTTGCGCCCAGTCAAATGTCAGGGGGAAGAGCCCCAGACCAGAGGCCACACCAAAGAGATTGGCAATGACGACGTTCTTGGGCGCAAACCAGGTGACGACGCTGAAATAGCTGAGCGCAGGCATCAACAGCCCCGGCAAGAAGTAGAACGCAAAGGCGCCGCTCCACACAATGTAAAAGAACTTCCATCTGCTGATTGTCCAGCCGTTGGCAGGTTTGTTATCCTGCTTGTGCAGCGTGGAAAACATGGCCGCGGACATGAGGGTACCTGGCCAAATCATGCCACTCGGGCGAACCAGATATCTCCTAGCCATGCCAGCAAAGCCGTAACCGAGGATTTGTGTTGATATGGTTAAGAGCAGCTGGTACCCAATCGACGCCGGCTGATTGTAGAACTGAGTCTGCTCGACAATGACATCCGTCGCAAATGCGAAACCAAACGCGACATTGCTACTGACATATACGCAAGTATGCTCCTTTTCGTTCCACCTCCCCTGTGCCAGCCATTGGCGCCACGAAGTTGCGTGTTTCGTTTGGTGAGTCTGGCCTGCTCCCTCACTCACAGTCTGGGTGCGGACTCCATCAACAAATACATGGTCGGGGTCGTCGGGTCGTTTAAGAACCATGTCCCACAAATGTCCCAGAGGGTGAACCAGGAGCAGTGCAATGACTGGGGTAATAGCAACGCTTGGGTATCGTAATGAGAAGAACAGATTCGTCGAAGAGCCAAGAATGGAGAAGAGAACCGACAAGCACCACATACGAGGCGTGTTTATTGAGAGGGTCGTATTATCAGTCGGGGGCACGGAAGCTCGAACAAGTTCGTGTGGTGAGTTCTCCTCGGGTTCAATAGTTGATTCCGTTGACGAGGCGTCCTCGAGCAGAAGCCCCTCCTCGGAGCCGATGTCTTCACCATCTTTGTCGTGGTCCAAAATCTCGCTGGGAAAGGCTGATTCTGCTATTCCGAAGCGGCCCTCCAGCCCGGACATTAGGGCGGTTCCGTCGAGGTCTTCGGATCGCCATGAGGTCATGGACCGCCGCGAGCTTAGACTCAACTGGCTCCGATTCTGAGAACCGATTCGACGAAGCCGGTGGTTATTATCGTCTTCGGAATCGCTGCTCACGGGAGAGGCGTCCTGGCTAAGAGTGACGGAGCCATATGGAGAGGAGACGGATCGAGAACCATCCATGGCACGAAGCATTGGCGTCTTCTTGGAGGCCATGTCGGCTTCGTCGAGCTGGTGGTCAAGGCGGCCAAGAGTCGGCTCTGCTATTGCCTCGCTGAGGCTCGGAGATGCAGGATCATGGCCAGCTATAGAAGTCGAGGATGACGATGAGCGCGACGAGGGGCGCACAACCGGCGTTGACTCCCTTGGGCCAGTGTTGGACGAACTCTCCGCCTCGCTCGGCTGGGGCGGGAAAGGTGACGATGAGGCAGTGGATCGAGCTGTGGAGGACGACGCAGCTGCTAGGGTCTGAAGAGGCACGCCCTGCTCGTGCAATTGGGAATCATGTACCCTTGTCTCAACGTCCGGAGAGAAAGACGGACTGGTCTTGAAGACGGACGGAATGGTGGTGCTGGTGGTGCTGGTGGTGGCGGACTCGGTCAAGCTGGACGCGCATTTGGTGCGACGACCCATGGCGGGGCAGACAATGGCGGGCCGAGAGGATTTGGCTGAAGAACGGCGCACCAGCGCGGCGTCGACCCTTGCATACGCATACAGAAAACGATGATGGAAAAACTAGAAGCGCTAGAGGCTGATTAGGGATGTTGAGGGATGCGTGGTTGGCGTGGCATGAAGCTGCCCTTGAGTCGGGACAACATGTACGGTCCTTTTGGGGGAGAAAAGGGGGGGGTGGTCGCAGCACCAATTGGAGCATAAACGACCGGTGTAAAGAATAACGAACGGCCCCTTTGCGCGCCAAGGAGTACCATGCAAGCCAGAGTTTATTAATTCTCCATGACCAAATCCTTGAGGCTCAACACCACAGCCGAGGACGACCCCCAGTCTGATCTTGGCCCTTGCGTACATATGCTGCTGTATTTGCCTATCAGGAGCCCGGACGCTTAAGGTCAGGCCGTCCCGGTCGCCAGTCGCCAGTCGCGGGCCTTGTGATCTCGTTGACATCTGCATAACTGGTGACGGACTGTGGACGGCGTGGACTCGCATCCTACCCCATGCTCCATTCTCCATGGAGTCCAAAGTAGTTGGTCAAGTCGATTGTCCATTGTTCACTCTCTACCCGACTAGTAACTACATGACGGCCTAATTAACTGGGTTCGGGGGTTTCGCAAAGTCAAGACTGGAAAAAGTCAGACCGATCATGGGCCAAGCCGCTACGCATCAACGCCAACAAGATCAGCTTTGCTTCCCACCGCTTTTGTGACGCTCATGGTCGCCGAAAGGGGTGTATCTTTTCGAGGCGGCATGACTCAGAGAAAAATAGCCTCAAATCGTGAGCACTTGTCATGCAAGCTAGCAGACGCGTGACGCAGTTCGTAGAGGAATGCATGTGAGAGGAGAGCGACTGGGCGAGTAGGATAGTTGGTTATCTAGGGAGTGCATTAATTAGCTTCGAGGCCAACATTAATAAAACAAAAGACTCCGGACGAGCAGCCACGACCTCCGGCAATAGTACATGACTGTAATGACGATCAATGCTAACCGTAATACTCCCTGATGTGATAGCCACAAGGACTCTGGACCGTCAGCCATGCTTCGAATTCTCACTGCCACGCGGCACAACATTGAGCCCAATCCGCCAGACATGTAGAAAGAATCGTAAGCCGCCGGAATACTCAGTTGAGCATATTGCGGGGCCGCTCAGCCCTGGTGTCTGTCTGTCATGGAATACGAAATGGCACATTTCTTCAGTATCACACACATGACCCAGGAAGGCAGGGTATAAGGAAGCCCTCAACGAGTAGATTGCAGTTCATTTCACAGTACCTTTGAAGCTTAAGGTCATAGTTATTCCGTAAGTTAGAATGTTGCCAGATTTGGTAACGGGCAACGAGACAAGATTTCGAAACAATGACGTGTACGGAAGGTGCGGCCAGACAACAGTGAACACGTGCTGGGGGCTCGTGCAACTCCAAAAACGTCAACTGGTAGAAACATGATAACCACTCAATGCTTCAACTCTCTCCCTCTCTCCTTTTATACTTTCTGATGCCTTGGTTCTACACACGATGCTCAAGCGACGAGACGAATGCACAGGACACCGTTTGGCGCGGCGCGGCTGACACCCGATCCAGCGGCGCCTTTTCCAGCCAATACCGAGCCATGGCCGCCTACCGAACCTTGACTCCTAGCGTAGCTCCAGACAAGCTTACAACAAAGGCCTCGCCGACGTAGAGACACCAAGACCGCAAACACCAGCAGTCTCGAGCATCCCTTGCGCCGGCTCCTATGCTATACACGGTTTCAAAATGGCTTCATCTCTCTCTGCGGCCAAGCAGCAGCTGCGAAGTCTAGTGAAGCAAAGACTCGCCGCCGTGCCCGCCGACTCCATTGTCACTCAGAGTAAGACAGGCTCACTCTCACAACGCCCTCCAGCTCAATGTGCTCACGCCAGCCAGGCCGCAATATATGCGAGTCATTAAAAGAGTTTCAGCCATATCTCGAGGCCAAGAGGATCAGCATATATCTTTCCATGCCCTCAGGCGAAGTTCAAACGGATGCAATTGTACGGCACGCCCTCGACTCTGGAAAGCAAGTCTTCATCCCCTACCTTCACAAATCACCGCTGGAGACCCCAGGCACTCCAGCTCGCGTTATGGATATGGTCCAGCTGAAGAATATGCAAGACTACGAGAGCTTGCAGCCTGATCGCTGGGGCATTCCCAGCGTAGATCCGGCCACGGTTTACGAGCGCCAGCGCATTCTGGGCGGGCCGGATGCGCACAGTGCAGACCAAGCTGGCTTGGATTTGATGTTGCTACCGGGTGTGGCATTCGACTTTGATGAGTCTGGTGCGATTCGGAGGCTGGGCCACGGCAAGGGTTTCTACGATTTCTTTATGAATAGATACTTGGCGAAAGCATCGTCCCCTGCCAATGAGGCAAAGCCTATCTTGTTTTACGGATTAGCACTCACAGAGCAATTGCTTTCGGGTTCATCCGAGGAACAGATTCCTATGGGTCAGTATGACAGACGCCTGCATGGCCTCGTGTTAGGAAATGGGCAGATAAGGGAGTCGTCGGGGAGCATAACACCGAAATGAGGCAAAATCATTTCTGGACTTGGGGTATGTTAAAAAAAATATAAATTAAAGTAAAATAAAATGCACTAAGCATCATCGTGATAATTACTGCAGCGCATGTGCCTAGGACATACTGAATGGTACATACGGCATGGTTATAGAGATGCCAGCAACTGCCACTACACTCTGCTGCTCTTGGAAAGTTCAAGGCTCCAGGCTTCACGCTTGCGATTTGTTTCAATGCGACATGCACATGTGAGGCATAATTTATGGCTTTCGTTGGCTGAACAGATGCACCCAGTTGCTCCGGCTGCCCCAAGCTGCTCCAGCTGCAAGATGACGCTCTTTGTATTACCAAGTTGGGAGTAGCGCACAATATCTCGCCGCTGCGGAGCGGAAAAACCTTAAGCGACCAACCACCCCAAGCCCGCTACCTCATCGCCCCGCCATGGCCCGTCATACCAATCTCAAAGAACCACGCTGTGTGGCTTCATGCTTCTCTTTTTTGCCTCCCCTGGCCGTCATTCCACCTCACCTTCCCTTGAACCCGGAACCAACTGACGGCGTCCCACGTCTCTCATTACTGTTGTCCCTTACTCCGTATATTGCCTCTACTCTAATTGTGCTGCGACTGCCTTGGAGCAGCTTTCCAACACGGCTGGACTCCTGAGTCCTTATGAAGACGAGCTCTCCCCGCCCGTTTTGAAATCTGGTTGCGACTCTTTCGGTCACCACGGCTCTCTCCCGCAACAGCCTCTCACGTTGCCCACCATGGCTTCGAACGCTACACAAGAGACCTTCTCGCCGTCTGACGTACTGGCTGCTGTTAGGACGATGAGGACTGGGGAGAAGGAGACGAAAACAAAGGCCCATGAATATCTGGAGAGATTCCAGAAGTCGGTATGCGTTGATGCATTCATTACACATGAGCATATCGCTGTGCGCCGTGCTAACCGAGGACTTGTAGAAAGATTCATGGGGTACCATAATGGGAATCCTCCAATCCACCGCAGAGCCCGAGGCCACCCTGTTTGCTGCTATAACACTTCGTGGAAAGGTTTCTATTCTGCCTCCCAAGCTCAAGTCCCAAACACCCTTGACGTGACCTTGCTGACATGACTAGATCACGTATGATCTAACTACCCAGGTGCCACCGAGCGAACTCCCGGCTCTTAGAAGTCAAATTCTGCTTCTATTGAAGCACTTTGCTGCCGGTCCGAAGCCCATTCGCGTGCAGCTCTGCGTTTGTCTGGCTATTCTTGCGATACAAATGAAGGACTGGAACGACGTTCTCCCGTCCGTGGTACAGTCCCTCGGTGACAGCCCTGAGAGCCACGCTTGTATACTAGACTTCTTGAGAGTTTTGCCTGAAGAAGTGACCGAAGGTCGAAAAATTACCCTGTCTGTACGTGGATCGCAAACCTGTCGACTTGGAACCAAGTCTCTTTCGACGACAGACCTACCATCCGATCGGCATCAACACACCATGGGGATCATAGTCTAATTTGTTGGAAAATAGGAAGAAGAACTTGCAGCACGGACACAGGTCCTATTGGGAGACAGCATAGATCAGGTGGTACAGCTCCTAATAAGCTACTCACAATCATCACGTATGCTTCCAACAACTTTACTGGAACTGAAATTCTTCAACTTGATGCTAATTGTTTGGTTGCAAATTTAGCGGCTGCATCGCGCAACCCCCAGCTCATAGAGTGCATTACCTCCTGGTTGAGAGAAGTTCCTGTTATGAACATAATCAACTCACCACTTCTGGATCACATCTTTGCTGGTGTTTCGAGTGACGAAAGTGGTGCGGAAGCCGCCGAGTGTCTTTGCACCATGCTCCGGGAAACCAGGGATATCGATGAGAGCCAAGATGCCGTCCATGCATTGTACCCTCGGGTTGTGGCACTGAAGCCACAGATCGAAAAGGCCGCTGAAGCCGACGATACGGACCAGTTGAAGGCATTGACCAAGGTCTTTTCGACAGCTGCGATTAGCTGGGTGGTTGGTGTTGCTCGCGAACCGTCTCATTTCAGACCGTTGGTAGAGGCTGTTCTGGAGTGCGCTGCTCGAGACAAGGAGCGTGACGTTATTGAGCACACTTTTGACTTCTGGTACGAGCTGAAGCAGTATTTGGTTTTGGAGCGGTACATTCAGGGCAGACTAGAGCTCGTCGATATTTTCTCGAAGCTCGTTGACATCCTGCTCCGCCATCTAGAGTATCCCCGGCCTGAGTCTGGAAACGAGAGCGATCTCTTCGATGGTGATCGCGAGCAGGAAGAAAAGTTTCGAGAGTTCCGTCACCGAATGGGTGACACTTTGAAGGACTCTTGCGATGTCATGGGGGTGACTGAGTGTCTTACCAAGGTTCTTCACGCTATTCAGCTATGGACGCAAAAGTATGCCGGACAGGTCAATGGCTCCGACGTTCCCCATTGGCAAGAGCTTGAGGCTCCTCTTTTCGCAATGAGAGCCCTGGGTCGGATGGTTCACAAGGACGAAAGTATTGTGCTCCCCCAACTGATGCCGCTACTGGTTCAGATTCCGAGCCACGAAAAGCTTCGCTTCGCGACAATCATGGTTCTCGGGCGATACACCGAGTGGACTGCAGCGCACCCTGAATATTTGGAACCGCAGTTCAATTATATTGTGGAATCTTTCCAGACAGAGTCGAGAGAAATACTCAGAGCCGCTGCACTTTCTCTCAAGTTCTTCTGTACTGACTGCAGGAATCTCCTCAGTGGGCAGGTGTTACAGCTCCAAACATTCTACGACCAAATCCTGGACAAGCTACCTGATCTGAGCAAGGAGGAAATAACCGAGGGTGTTGCCAACGTGGTCGCCGTTCAGCCTGTTGACGAAACGTACAGGCTTTTGAAAACCTATGCCGACCCTCTGGTACAAAGATTAATGGCCAAAGCCAACAACGCTTCCAATGAGGAAGGCAAGCTAGCCTTGGCTGGTAAGTTGAACCACAGAGCCGGCCTTCTTAGCATGACGTGACTGACTTTGTACACTAAAAGATCACCTCCAACTTATCACCATCTTTGTGCAGAATGTTGTTCCGTACGCGGCTCCAGGGGGAGAAAACCCTGCAGTCAAGTATTGGCAGGAGATCTTTCCCATCTTGTCGACTGTTTTGGACAACTTCCTCGACTTCAGTCCCATTTGCGAACGCATTTGTCGATGCTGGCGAAATATGGTCACGTCGTATCGAACTGCCATGGCCCCTCTCCTTCCTGAAATGGCCAACAAGCTCGCCAGCAGCTTCAACACATCTAGAGAAGGTTGCTTCCTCTGGGTTACATCTGCAATTCTAAGAGAGTTCTCGGAAGACCGTGAGCATTTGGACCAGGCCACCACGGAGAACATCTATACCTTTTTTGAGGCTCAAACAACCGCTTTTCTTAGAGTGATGGCAGATTTGCAGCCTAAAGATTTGCCAGATGTCATTGACGACTTCTTCCGGCTTCTAATTGATGCCCTTTTGTATTACCCGCAGAAGCTGATTCCGTCGCAGCTGCTGGTGCCAATTTTCCAAGCTTCGGTCTACGCATTAACTTTGGAGCAACGAGATCCGCTCTCGTCGACCCTGCACTTTTTGCGCGACTTGCTATCGTACGGCGGCGACAATCCGGCAAGTAGTGAAGGTCTTCCGGAGGCACAGGCTGCTGAAATCCGTGGAATCATCAAGAATTTGTTGATGGCCCATGGTGCCGACCTTGTCAAACAAACCATGGCCGGTATGATGATTACGTTCCCTGGGGACTGCTTTGCGGATGGAAGCGGTGTTATCCTGGCCTTGTTTGAGATTATGCCAGCACAAACTACTCAGTGGGTTGCGCATACGATTGAGCTTCTTCCTCAAGGAACTGTGTCGGCACCAGAAGCTCAACGATTCGTGACCAAGGTCAAGGAGAAGTTGTCATCCGGGGATGTGAGCGGCCTCAGACATGTGCGCACTTTGCTGCAAGACTTCACCACTAATTACCGCCGTCGCAATGTTGCTCCCAGAGACGGCCTGGGCCAACTCGAAGCTGCCAGATTTCAGTTCTCTGGCTAAGCAAATGACGAATAAAATTTGAAAAAATAAGGCCAGCAAGATAACATGGGGACAGCCGAGGAAGCATGTGCGATATAGGGAAAAGATACCAAGCAAAAATTAGGGCGTCAGCAAGCCCTTAATATTTCAAAACTGGAGTGGAAGTCGATGGGCGAGGAGTTGAGTGATTGTTGTTGGACCCAGTCATGAGCCCGTGGGCATGTAGCCCGGACGCATCAAGACGCGAGCCGTCAGCGGCTCTGTGGTTCGATGGCTGAGATGAAATAGAGATATTGGGAGCAGTAGCATGATTTTGGAAGCATTGTCGGTGAATGGAAGGCAATAATTTTTGGGAGTCATATTGGTGGCAAAAGGCGAGCGTGTGCTATTTTAGAGAATTGCGACGGAGGACTTTGAGAGAGCGTAGCTGAAGAAGTGGAAGTTAACTCGGGCCCGGTACGTTTCTCTTGGTGCGCTTGACCCGTTGCTGGCCCGACTCGGTCGATAGGCCAAATTATAAGTCTTGTCGTGTCCATGTCTGTCTCAGCCTTTAAGCGCCACCGTTTGATAGTCTTTGTTGGTTTGGGCCAACGCACTGCCGACACTGTGGGCTACTGCAGTCCAATTTTGATTCTTGTGGCTTCAGCAAGCAACATGGAAAGCTTCCCAGCTCCAAGGCCAGCAGCAGTCAGGACCGTGGAGCCGTCGCAGCCACACGCTATTTTGAGCTTGACGGCTCTCCACCCGTTCTCGTCGGTGCCTCTCGCAACTGCAAAGGCGGAGGCCAATGGCCCTCGTCCAGTCGGTCGTTGAGCAGGCACGACGGCGACGGGGCGCCTACACGGTCCTGTTTGCTCAAATCTTAACCAAGTGGTCTTTTTTCTTCCCTCTCCTCGGGTCTACCTGGAGAGCACGCATGCCTTGTCGTGGGGGTAGCTGGTGTGCTTCTCGAGGCTGTAGTTGCGGTGGTCACATTCACACCGGCAACAATCCCTTTATATAAGAATCATGAATGAACAGAAAGAAAGAAGGAGAGTAAGCGGCCACGACAATAGACAGAAACGCGAGGAAGAGGAATACTCGAGCCGGTACCGGGCGGTGTAAAGAAGGCAGACCGCCTTGATCGGTAGGCCCGCGCACCAACGGGGAGGCAATTCACGAGTTGGCGACGAGTAGAAGATGGCAAAGCGGACGGGCCGTATTCCTGCCGCCTCCGCGACCCGGCCGGGCGATGGGCGGCCGCTGGCTATTCACTGGACCGCGCAAGTGTCGACACGCCGTCGGAGCCGTGAGGATTGTCGTTTCCAGGGTGAGACATGGATACGCTCGGCCTTGTTGTGAGGTACATCATGTGACGGAATCCCCAAACAAAAGAGGATTCATTCGCGACGAGAATTCGACGCCGGGGATTTATTCAGAGGGGCTGCAAAAGTGCAAAGAGCGAGCTGCTGATGCGGCCGGGAACCCGGCGCCTGTGACTCTTGGCAACAGGCGTCGTTCGTACCTAGTAGCTGTGTAAACATGGGAATCCGCTTGCCGCAAGTCAAGGGCGAGGATTGCGTCGTGGTTTTGAAAGTCTACATGCCGTTTCGTGGTTGTGTACCGGGCGTGTTTTTCCTCCCTCCCTCCACGAAAGGCGCTCTTCCCGACGAAGGAAAAACACCACATCGGGGGGCGTGGCTTTCCTTGCAAAGCTTCTTTTTTTTTTCCTCTTATTTCCTGTACTTCGCGTAGAGCATGTATTTTGAGTGTAGACGGGTGCCAAAGACAAAGAGACGGGCTTGAGGGCTGGCCGGCGGTCTGAGCCGCAGCGCAATGGGCCAGGCCGAACTCGCCTCCTGAGGCCGCTTCGACGGCGCCGTCGTGGCGATTCCGGGACGGTGCAAAGGACGGGAAAGGCGATTCAGGGGCTCTCAATGACGACGGTGGCCCTTTCCTCGTTCAGAAATGGTTGGCAGGCACCAGCCGGGGGGGTGGGAAGGGGAAGTGGTGGTATCTGCGCCAAGGAGTGGGCAATCATGGGCTTGGGCGTCAAAGAGGCCGCGTGCTTTGCCGACGCATCCTGACAGACCACGCGTGTCGTTGTGTCTGTTCTCCGCGTGTACTTGAAGAAAGGTTCGATCTGAACAGAGAGGTCCTGGGCTGCGGGGATGGAGGGAGGACGGGGGGCGGGAGAGAATCACGGCAGAGAGAGAGGACACGGTCAAAGCGAAAAGGCATTCGGCGGGAGAGGCATGGTCTAAGAGGGACATCTGTGACGGAGGCGAGTTGGTGAAAGAGAGAGAAAGGGGGAGGGGACAAAAAGTGGTGTCTCGGTATGGCCAGAGACATGTAGACAAGACAGAATATTTACAGTTGTGAAAAGAACAAGACTATGTGGATTCTCGCTTCGTCCTTTCCATCTCACTCCCGGTATTGTCCTGGAGAGAGGATGAAATGCACAAGCCGCTCCTGAGCAGGTTACACCAACAGTCTGTAACAAAAAGGGATTGATTGTTCCTATAGGCCAAATGGGAAGAAAAAAGACCCTATGCGTGCAAGACCACTGTTTTCTTCGCCTAGACTTCTTTGTCGTGTTCAAGTCTACTGCTGCCCTGTGTTTCCTATTTCGATATGCTGCTCTTTCACATCACTGCTCGGCTATCTCGTCTGGTTTCTTTTGCGTTTGCACAAAAAGACCCCTTTTGTTAGCACGGATATAGGCGCTGTTTCACTTCATAGGCCATCCTATGTAGACCTTGTTCAAGCTACACAGCCATCCATCTACTCGTTCATGGCCAGTGGATATAATAGTCCAAAGAATCACTAGTCAGGCACAGGCACAATGGACAGCATCCATGGCACCCGAATGCCTAGGTATAATAAGTCTCGTCGCCGTTCTTGGACTTCTTAGCAGCGACTTTCGACGTCAATAATCTTCTTTCCGCCATCCTTGCTACCCTCAGCATCCTGCCTTCATGCCCAGTGTTTGCTTCTCCTTGGCTAGAACCGGGTTTTGGCCATATCGTGACAGAGGGGAGCAATCACTGTAGCTTGTGAAATACCTGAGACTCGCTGTGTCTCATCTTTTGGTCACTTTTCTGCTTCTTGGCATCACGGAATTCTTCAAAATGGACGGCCGAACGAGGGCGCCGGCCCGGTCCAGAAAGAGACAGCGCAGCAACTCTCCCGCAGCCGGTCCGTCGAAGCGTGCTAATACAACCAATAATCACAACACTGGGGGCGACGAGGACAGTGACAGCGTTATCGAGGTGAGAGTGGAAGAATCAGAAGAGGAGGGTGAAGACAAGTATGCCGTCCGGGAGCAACGATTTGCCGTAAGGCGGGAGAGGGATGCCGACAGCCTGACCTGCAATTTCTGCCTCAACCTTGAACTCAGTTCAAAGGGGAAAGCCCCGGCGTGCAATAGGCAAATCATCGATGGGTTGGTCCATGAATGCCAAACGTGTGCCGACCACAGATATCAGTCGGGAGACCTGGATCATCAATGCTTCCGTACGGGTCAGCATCCAGACCTACAAGTGTTCAAACGCCACTCGAATTTCCACCCAGTCAACTACCCCAAGCCCATCACCTGCGAGGAGTGTAAAGACAACAGAAAGGTGAAAAATAGCCGTTGCGATGCCGACCCTTTCCTGCAGCTACGATGTACAAACTGCATGAAGACCAAGGACAGTGAGTCGAAGCTCTGCCTGGTCAAAGCTAGCACGGGCGACGCCGACTTGGGCTGGGGATACGAGGTCGAAAGACAAATGGGCCCCAAGCCGAATCTTCAAAAGGGAAGACGGAGGTGGTTTCGGCGCGAGTGTGACATTTGCAAGAGCAAGCCTGACAAGGAAAAGGGCCAAGTCTGCAGCTGGTTGGACTCGCGCCAAACCGGGGAGCCCGGAGATGTTCGTGAGCCCTGCCTCCAGTGCAAGGAAGGCAAGATGTCCTGCTTTGACGGCGGCATGCTGGTTGGACATCCCGACAGCTTGGAGGTGCCTACCGAGTGGTCGACCAGGGGCGATCTGGGCGGCGGATGGGTGGAATTGAGAGGCGACAAGGGCGTCGTGACGAGGCCTCAGTGCAAACAGTGCCACGCCCAGAAGCGTCACTGCAGGGCGTCGGCAAAGCACGCCGAGTACGCCTGCAACTGGTGCTGGCAGACGGGCATGGTGTGCCGGGACTTGAACGACGAGAACAAGATCTACCCGCTCTTTGACCTCAGCAGGGTTGGCATTGGCAACTTCTGCCCCTTTGCCCGGTGCGGCCGGTGCGAGGCCACGGGCAGAAACTGTGATCGCCAACGACCCTGCGATTCTTGTTTCTTCAACGGCGAAGGGGACATGTGCGACAAGTGGCATGCTGGAGCCCTGCGCACACTGAACTGCTTGAATCGCCGCATCAACCATGGCGAGAACATGATGGTGAAGCCAGGACCGCTGTACTACTTGAGTATGGGCTACGGACCGGAAGGCGTGGATGACGAGAAGGACGGAACGCAGATTGAGCACTACGTCGGCCCGCCGTTCGCGCGTTATGCGTTCAAGACAGTCCCCGATAGACCGGGCGATGTTCTTGAGCAGAACAAGCAGGCCCTTGTGGCCGAAATGCAAAGGATGAGATCGGCATTGGTGGCTCGGGGCGTGCCTCCGCATGGAGCTCCTGGCGGTGAACTTGACGGCATGAATGTGAATGATATCACACTCGACCAGCTCAGGACCTGGCTGGTGAGACGGTGGCCAAGTTGGACGAGGCAGTGCGACAGAAAGGAGTATGCAAAGCACAGAGACTTCAAAATCGTTTCCAAAGCCTATATAAGGTCAAAGTTGATGGAGGCTAGTGGAGGAAGCCCAAATACAACCACACTCGTCGAGGAGTTGGGCGACGGAGAGGAGGACCTACAGACAATGCCAGTTACAGAGTCGACCTCCAACATCACCAGTGAGGGCGATCGGACTGGAATCGGCGCCGTTGATGCCTACATGGTCAGCACAGTCAGCACAGCTCCCAATGTAGCCAACAATGCTACCTTCATGACGATACCCAGCAACCTTCTCTCTGGAGGAATCCCGCTTCGTCTTACCTTGCCCAACTCCGAGGATTACCACGAGTACCACGACAACTCATTGAATGTCTACGACATTCAATCAGCTCGCTGGCGAGAGTTTCTCAGCCAAACTAGGCCACCTTGTGAAAAAGCCATATGGCAAGACTATTATCAAAACCCCACTGGATCGACGGATTTCGGCTTGTTCAGCGTCATGAATGGTTCTCTTGTCCGCCATTCCCCCATCAATCAAGTCTTCCGCGGCATTTCTTCCGACTCGGTCAACGTGCAACTCCAGCGTTTCCCATGCATAGAACAAAGACAGATGTGCACTGGCTTGACCGAAAGACTTTGTCAAGATATTGAGCACGGCAACCTCCCCCATTCAGTTTGTGAGTCTTGCGTACGATATGACAATGGCCTTTTGTCTCAAAGCCCAGGCAGGATGACCAAGTTCGACATCGTAGCAATGCGTGCCTACTTTTGCAATTCTTGCCACAGTCGCGTCATTGGGGGATCCCTCACTGACTTGTACTTGCTCGGTGCAAAGAACGTCTGGGGCTGCCGGTTCACAAACAACGCCACCATCGGTGGAAGTGTAGCTGTCAACGGCCGAAATATGAATCTTTTCCCCTTTGAGCATCCCATTACTGGATGCACTTGCGGTTTCCACATCTTCAACTCGCACCTGTGTCTGCCTGATCGAATCAAGTACGCACGCTACGCCTTGTATCAAAGCAACAGGATGAGGGAGTGGCGAGTCGCGGAAGAGGAGAAAGATCTGTGCCCAGTATGTCTCGTACACCACCCGAAAGACGTGGCCACCGCTTCACCATCATATCACGAACTCCTTTCCGCGGATGGGACGTCAACGGAAGAAACAGTGTCGTGGGCATGTCTTGTGTGTGGCGGACTGGTCCTCAACCAGCCAAAGAAGAACGCAATAATTGGTGGCTGGTTTAACTGGTTTCCTACAGCGGTAGTGTCAGACTGGGGCATTGATCATGCAGCGAGTTTTTGATCCTGACCCGGTGCCATCGGAGGACTAGGGCTGATGGGTGCGAGCTGGCTCTAGACTCACTAATGCAGGCGAACGAGAGATAAGGGGAAACGAATGGCGGCTTATATGGCGAGCCCAGGCAGCATAGCCAGGCCTCGCATGCAGATCGGTGAGCTGGCGAGTTTCGGGAGTTGCATCCGAGATCAGACTCCCCTCGGGGTCGTGATGCTGATTTTCTCTCCCAACTTGCACGCCCAGTCATCATCTATGGAATTCGACGCAGGGGAAATGCAGCTGAGAGGAGTCAGACATGGACAAGCCACGAGGTGCACGGGGGTATGCTGCCTGAGCAAGGTACCCGAGCACAGCAACAAAACCGTAAAACCGTAGAGGGTGTACTCTTAATGAGATTGAAGAGAGAAGAGGAAAGGGAATACGGAGTAAGTAAGCAAAGGAAACCAGAAAAAGGGGGGGGAGTACCAATGAGAAGGAATCAGGCACGGAAAACGGGAACCACACACAGGACACGGGGCAGGGAACACGGGATACGAGTGTGTACATGGACAGGCCAGCGCAGAGCAAAAGAAGACAACTAGCGCAAATCAAGATGACTTTCATCAGCACGGTGTGCAGCTGCATGTACAAGTCAATGTACATGTAGCAATATATCGACAGTAGCATGGCATAGCATAGCATAGCATAGCATAGCATAGACACAACAAAGAGGCTCAGCAAAAATATTTGTCCTGGCATTGGGGAATGTAGACACCCTTGGAGTGAGAAGGCGTCATGAGAATTTCCAGACAGGAAAATTGAAAAATGAATTACATGTTGCTTGACCAATAATTTGGGGAGAAGGGTGGGATATACTCGAAGTAATATGATCACAAGAACCAACCCATTTTCGGGTGAAAGAAAATCCGCGCAGGAAACAAACAAAACATTAAAGGCTATACAAGGACCAAGGACAAGAAAAGACAGGACAGAAGATGAAGAGTAAAAAGAGGAATAGAGGCGGGGGAGAAGGAAATGAGGAGGAGAATAAACAGTAACAATATCAGATCAACTTCATCCCTTATCCAGCAACACAACACCAAGGCGGGTGTTAACAACTCTCGCGAAGCCTCTGCTGAATTGCATGGGCAATAACAATGTCCCTGTTCTTTTCTGTGCTCGTCTTGGTATTATGATTTCCTGGGCCCCCAACATGAACAGATTCGCAACTGCTCACTGACATGATTCACGCATCCTTCTCGCAATTTTTGCCATTATTCTGCGTCTTGTGCCCCTTTCATTTGCGCAAGCTGGCTTCCCGTCCACCTTCTGCCCCGACGTTCTTCGGCCCTTCAAAATCTCGCAGCCGGGAATCGTTGGATAGACAATGAGTTTCTTAGCCCGTGGCATCTCAAAAAAAAAAAAAAAAAAAGTATAGTGCGTGGCTATCAGTAGTCATGTTACGCTGAAAAAGACAAAACAATGCCGCACAGCTGGATTGCCAAAAATCCTTGTCGTTCTCGAATGGCATCATGGTTTTTGTACAAGCCCTCGAAAAGCCCGTCAAAGAAAGCGTGTGCATGCAACCAAATCCGAACCCGACTCCTCGTCCGATGCAGTGAAAATGTTTTCTCATCCGTCCTGGCAATCCGCCACAGTGGTATCACAGCCGTTGCTGTACTTCGTGGTCCAAAAGAGTTGTTTTGCTTAAAAACCAAAGAGATAGTGAATAGGAAAATCCCTGTTTTCCACAGGTGTTACTTTTTTGAAAGTGGTCGCCCGATTGCTGCAGTGGGCGTCGACCCAGCCAACTGCTGTATAAATCAAAAATCAACCCTCTGCACCGTCCTCTTATCATCACACCAGCTCCCTCGGCTTCGTCCCTCACATAATGACACACTTGCCACAGCAGCCGGCCTCCTTCTCACCGTCCTCAATGTCCATGGGCTTGGGGGGCCCGTTTACCCCTGATCCGCCGCCGCTGCCAGTCGAATAACCTTGCATTTCGCGGTTGTATCTTCGGATCTCCCTAACGATATCGTAGAACGCTTTATCAACATTGATTCGCGACTTTGCTGAAGTCTCGATGAATTTGCAGTTAAACGATCGTGCCAAAGCCTCTCCCTCTATATTTTTCAGAACGAAGAATCAGCAGCCAGCCCCAGATAGGTCCGAGGGGAAAGTGCACAGCATTTGCATTGCATATACATGTGTCTAAATATATGCATCAAGTACGTACCTTGCCTGGTTACTTCACGCTCGCCTTCCAGATCACACTTGTTGCCTACTACAACCATGGGGAAGTAATCCTTGTCTTTGACTCGCAAGATTTGTTGCTGGAAGGTGGTGATTTCCTCGAAGCTCTGGCGGGATGTAATAGAGTAGACCAACAAAAAGCCCTCTCCGGTTCTCATGTATTGCTCGCGCATAGCACTGTATTCCTCCTGGCCTGCGGTATCCAAAACATCGAGAAGGGCGACCTCATCATCGATAACACACTGCTTTCTATATGAATCTGTAATAGCCGGCTACATTAGAATTTGCAGACATGACGGGTGGCAATCCGACGAGGAAGAGAAAAGCGGTGGCGCAGGGCCTGTCGTCGACTGTGACGCACCTTCGATCGTAGGATCATATTCGTCGACGAAATGACTTTGAATCAATTGGATGGTCAAACAAGATTTACCAACGCCGCCGCCGCCAACAACGACGAGTTTGTACTCTCTCAGAAACTAGTTTCGCAAAGCAACTTGTCAGAAGACTGCATGAACTGTACGTCGCCGGTGTGTGACTTGTAAAATAACCAAACGACATCGGAGGGGTCGACAAGTAGGGAAACAGAGCCAGCCCAACAAGATGTTGGGTAACCGAGAGGCAAAGGAAAGACGGGGGCGTTTTTGGGCGAATTGGTCGGAGCAGAGCCAGCATACCTTGGTAGACGCAGCCATTGTGAGTGAAGATGGGGATTTTCAGGTCAAGGGCGTCTTGCGCAAAATCAAAATAGGAGGGGAGGGGGGTTCGCGAAGGAAGGTTTGGTGTAGTGAGACGATGTAAGGGGCCGTGCTGAATAGCAGCAACAGACAAGCGCGCGGTCAGCGGAGAGATTTGAGCGACTCGGCAGCGGAATTGAGGGCCAGAGAAGGAAGAGAAAACCAAGAGAGCGATGCACTGCACAGCGGCAACGGCTGGGTGACGAGGCGAACGACGATGTTGTCGAGGCCGAAAATAGCTGGGAAAGATGAAGGACAAAGATAACCCAGGATGGAGAATGCGGAACTGGGACTGGAACTGGAACTGCAAGTGGAGGACGGAGTATGGCGGACGATGGGCCCCAAGTGATTGGTGGCAGGGCGCTGGAGTGGGTGCGAGAGACCTCGACCTTGACCCTGGCTGGGCCTGGCTTGACGTGGTTGGTGGTGGTGTTGATGTGGTGGTATGGTGGTATGGTGATATGGTGGTATGGTGGTATGGTGGTATGTGTGGCCGAGGGGTCGGGTGGTGGCTCGTGGGCATCAATGATGGAGGCAAGGCGGGTCGAGGTCCAAGCCAGGGACAATGTTGACAATGCACTCCAGCCTCCATCAATTGATGTCCGTCCTCGGTCGGCACAAATGCGCATGCCTGCAAGTGTGTTGGATACGGACGGAGTACCTGAATGTCAGGTACTTACTTCGTACTTAATACCTGGATGGGTACTTAGTACGTAGGTCGCTACGGAGTACCTGGTATGTACACCGTATTTACGCGAGTGCTGTTGCTATTCAATGCTTCCAGATGTTTGGACGCACGCTCACTCGTGGTTCGATGCGCGCCGGCGCAATTCCGAGGCTTTTTATTTTTTTATTTTTTTTTTCAGTCTTCATGTCGCCAGCCGGCCTCTCAAAAGCAGTTGGCCTTGGAGCAACTGGCACTCGCATATCATACAGTTCTTCCTACTCCCTTCTCCATATCGACATTGATTAACTTATAATACAACATTGCAGAGCAAGCACATACCTACTCCGTAATACCTGGCCCCTAGCAACCTGGTATTGCTCGAGTGGATGCAAGTGATAGGCCGGTGTTATTGACGAGGACACCTTGAACCAGACGGGGGAACGGCCGGGGACCCAGGGGGTGGTTGGGAGCATTTCAAGCACTGGAGGTCGGGGGGCGTGCACATGTGGAGGCAAGTGAGGAGCACCAAATCGCAGGGAAGGTGGCCTGGCACTGGGCGGGAGAGAGATTTGGCTTCAATGTTTGCTCCAAATTGTGGTGCCAACACGAACAAATAGAGTCTGGTAGAAGCAGCCAAGGAGCCTCAAATATTCGTGTGGGAGCATGGAAGGGCTAAATATTGCAAGGACCCCGTCAGCAGTCCCATCATGAGCTGGTTCTTTTTGGCTTGGAAAGAATGCAAAAATCAAAATGAAAAATATAATAATAACAATTATAATAGTAATATTAATAATACACATAGGGAAGGGAAACAAGTTGCACTGCTTTCTTGACCGAGCCATTCCTTGTACTAGTGTGCGACCAAGCGCCCCGAGTCGCCATTTCTGCAATTCCTTTACCCAGACTGCACCACGCAGATGCTCTAATACTCTGTGTCCTGTTAGCCATTGACCGGGTACTCCGTAAACTCTGTATCAGTCAATATTCGCCCGGTCTGTGCCCTCAATGCTCAATAATCACACACGACCAGGAAGGCCAGCCACCGTCTGCACTGCACGATGCGATCAAGAAGGCTTGCGCCATGTTTGGCTCCTGGGCAAGCGTCTACGGAGTCAAGTTCAAATACTCTACCAATTAACTCCAAGTGCAGAGTCTGGAGTACCTCCTCGGTCGAGTCATCCATCACCAAGATGCACCGTCTCTCGCCGTCTACCCACGAGAAGCCACCGTCTGTGCTCCGTAGTACCAGAGGGTATCTGTTCAACATAGCTCTCTTTTCGAGTCAACTTCCTCGGGCTGCTCCGTACATTGGGCATGCCAACAGGTCCGCTGCCTCCTCTGTTTATTGACCAGGTCCTCCAGAAGTCCTCAGGAAATACATACAGTCGTCTCGTCTTACATACTTACTAACAGGTAGGTCCCCGGGGCATCATAAACGTGAAAGCTGTCGGCCTAGTACCTAAAACCTACTACCTACCTGGGTACTTAAGTACGTAGGTACCTACTTACATAGCATGTCACCGCACAGTCACCACCAGGGGCGACATGGCAAGGATGGACGTGCCCAGCAAGTTGCAATCAGAAACCAGAAACCTCATCTCAAAGGAGGGAAGGGTCGAGAGAACTTTAACTGCTATTACTCCGTAGGCCCTGAAGGGAAGGGGTCCTTGTCCTGGCCCTGGTGGCGGATTGTTTCCCAGCTTGTGGAGCACGAATCCATCAACAGGCCTAGGATTGGGCCATGATAGACGAGAGGCTGGCCGCCGCAAGCTCCTTTTTGGGTGCGCAAGCTTCGAAGGACCGCCTCTCTACCATATTAGCGCCAGGGGAGGGCGTCGGCATGAAAGTGAGGGCAGAGCAACCATGGTTTGGTGTTTTGGGTTCAGCGTTTTTGATGGTAACTGCATGCATAATGCACCTACGGAACAGCGTTTCATGCATTCTCTAGCATCTCGTACGGAGGATCAGAACAGTTGAAGTGTGTGTGCCCGTGGGTACGATTTTGAGATAGAAACCCCCCCACCCGCGGAGAACGTGGCTGCCGACGGGGAGATCTGGTCTGGTCTGATGTGGTGCCACCACTATCACCACCTCTCCTTGGGCTTGGATGTTGGCAAAGTCTGCCAGACCGGTACCATTGTGTCCCTGTGGCAAGCCATCTTTTTTTTTTCTTGTGTCAGGCACAGAGCCAGCTCGCTGCACTCACACAAGGCCCTGCCTTTTTTTTTAATCACATCGACGAGGGCCGCCCTTGATATGGGCTATCTGCTCTCATTGTGGGCTTCTCCCACTACCCAGTCGCTTAGTTCCAATATCGCGCCATGTTGGTGATCTACTCTTTCGTGAAATATATATGGAGTGCTCCGTATGGAACGTAATCTTTCGAAGAGGAGCCCGTCTTACCGGAGGCTTGCCGAATAAGGCGCATATTTCCCGGGCAGCGAGAGACCTCCCCACAACACCTATTAATAAGAAGCCTGCCAATTTATTGTAGTAATATACTGAGCATGGTGTATGATGAAGAACTTGCTTGATGTGCTCCGTATGTACATATGTACATATGTCGTCAATTAGGCCGTGACAATTGAAGCCCAAATGACTTGATGCAAATGTGCACGATGCATGCAAACGTTTTGGCGCCAAGCTAGATCTAGAAGCATATCAGCACATCATACAATAGAATCCAAAGCTGTGAGAATCATATCTGCAACTTGGCGGAGCGCAACATATAATAACTATATGCTACGAAACACGTTCCGCGTTTCGCACTCCGTATTCTACTCGATACACAATGTGACGATGCTTTGTATCAGCAAAGTCATATCCAGTAGAAGATGCAGGCTTTGGGTCGAGATGGCAAGGACACGGGAGGACAACTACTTCCTAGTACTCCGTATCTACCGAGCCCTTGAGCCCTTTATTAATAAAGACTCGCCTAGTTAGCGTCTTGGTGAAAGAGACTGAACCTGGGATGGTGGAGTCTTTGCCATGGTCCCCTGGTTGCTGCATTGAGCAACAGGGGCAGTCCAAAATGTCTTTCCCCTCCCACGCCTTCCGTGAGTCCTGAGCGTGAAACTGGCATTAATGCTGGAATATCAGGGTCACGATGGAAGAGAGAGTAGAGAGAATAGTAACAATAAAAGGCAGAATTTGTTGCACAAGCGTGCAATATGGGGTACTCATTGCACTGCCTCGTGTTATAGCATAATACACATGAACTCCGCGGCTACTCCAACGTGCCAGAGCTGGTAATTCATGCTTTGCGCAAACGCATTGCTTGCAAAAAGGAGTCTGTTTCGCAAAGCCGTACTTTTGGGGTACCGTAAAGAGAGATGGATCTTCCTGGAAAGCCATTAGTACTATGAGCAGCATCAGTGTATGTTTTGAATAAAGTAAAATACTCACGCGCGCCAATCGGGCGGAGGAAAATCAACCATGTGCCAGTCCATAGTGCCGAGACCTGGCATGTCTGTCTTGTTTGAGACTGTTTGATCGGATGGCTTTTGCTCCGTTCTTGTCGAAGCCGGCATTCCGTGCTTTATGTTGTTTTGCGTCGAACCTTTCCAAAGCGGTACTATTATCCTCACGCAGGAGGACTCGGGACAATGGCGCCTACATCATGAGGAGGAACAAGTCATAACAGACCGGAGTTGGTCCTTTGCTTCGATAGACATTTTTGGCGACTGCAGATGCGCAGCTGCTCGTGCAACAAGAGTCAATTGTGCCTGGGTGCCAGGTTAGCACGCTAGCTCCTGCCCCTTTAATGATCCATCGCCCAGTTGGCATGTCAACGTTGGCAGGTGCAAAAGGCTCCAGTGCTGAGTGCAAGTTCGATGGCACGACACCCAAGTACCCCGAACGAACCGAGAACCGAACACACATGCACCAGGCTTGATGTCAAGTTCTCCGACTCCTCCAACTATTCTGATTTGTTCACAGCTGGGCATTAGCACGTCACCGCCACAGAACAGGTGGTTCGTGCGGATGCCTAGACGCTATTCCGTACGCTTTTATTAGCTCCCCATTACTACATGCTTGGGTACTCGTCTCATTACCGGAATGAATCACGGCCGCTCAGAGGAAAACTGTTTCCGCTGTCCCTCTTCACGGATAGGGGTCAGCGATGCTGGAACAAAACACATAATGACTGGAAACAGCTTCATCAAGTATTCTCTGCTACTACCTGAGGGTCCGTGCTTGTCGTCCGTTTGCTACGATACCCCAGCTTCGTTTTTGGGGTGACTCTAATCATTCGTTCCACCGACTGCAAGGGCAAAATCGCTTGGTATTTGGCATCAGCGCCACGAATTTCGCCGGTTGGATGATATCATAAAGCTAGCTGGAAGGTGACCAGTCGCCATCAGCCCGAGATATAATAACCCACCTGGCATGCAGTCATGACAGGAATGACAAGAACACTGAACCTGAGGGTGTTTACATTAGGTCGTAAGAGAGACCTGCATATTGTCAAATCTCGGGTGTCAACTGAGCGCATATCGCATGCATACCCGCTCTGCGCACGCTTTCATCTAGAGTTCTCGCCTGCGTTTCCGTGTTAGCAGTACCCCTGAGTCTGGCCGGCCCCATGTCCCCATGTCAGGCACCTATCACCAACTTGGTACGGACTACTCCGTACAATGCAGTAGTACATTCTCGGCCTGGTGGGTTACCGATTACCTTATTTACTCAGCTTGTCAGATCAACATCTATCTAATTTCTCGCCTGCACTCTCATGTCTGCAAGTCTGCCCAAGTGGTGCAGATAGATGAAGGCTGATGGCGCCAAGGTAGACAATCTAGAACTGAAAAGCAAACATGATGTCAGAGTGTGTGATTGGGATATGTGGCATCGGCCGCTTCAAATTCGAATATATTTTGTTAGGAGTGTCAGTCGGGAGAGGGTGACGGTTTTCCATCCCGTGTTAGGTGCCGTTGCAGCCAGAACCCAGTCAGCAAGTGTGATAAATTAGACAGCGTCAGAGTCACACTACGGACACAGCGAGTGCTCGATCGTGAGGCCTTGGCCGAATTTACAACATCGATGATTCAATTAGCGTAATACAGGTCCGAGGAGAGCTCAGTTATTGCCTCGCGGATGCTACATCGCGCGAAAATCAGTGCGGAAACGCATCATGGCCCATAGGACTAGTCTCACGATAACTTCTGGGCATTGACATTTCATTGGGTTGGGTCATTCAGCCGCTTCATCACCTTCGGCCGCGCGACCAGTGGTGACGTCTCATGACCACGCACTAACTCGACCTTGCTACGGCTACAAATCGAGTCGTGACTTGCTCAGGGAGTCCACCGTTACAGCATCAAATGTCTCAACGATTGCTCGATTTCTCCACCTAGAAAACCATGTCCGCCAGCTGAGTACGGAGTAGCCACTGGCGCAAACAGGGAGAGTTTGGAGCCAGCAAACATGCCAATAAACAGCATTGCCAGTCTCTTGCAGGACAGCAACTGTTGTAGACACAATATTGTGCGTAGGTAACTACTCCGTACAAAGCTTGTAATCGCCAGACCGAAATACAGGACCGACCCATCAAGCTATCCAAGCCTTGGAGCTTCTAGAACGACGCTCTCCACACTTCACATTTGAGCTTACCCTGGCCAGCCCACTACTACTGTATCCACTCCCATCGAACATGGCTTGACATCCTCGGACCCTCAGGGTAAACAAGGAGGGAATAAACGCCAAGTTTTGCTCCATCCGCATCTAATACTGGAATCCAGAGGATTATGGGCATCAAATTTGCCCAGGCTTTCGATATTCGCCCGTTGAAAGCATCCATGCTGATGTGCGTATTTCCGTCTATTTCTCTATAGAGTACGGAGTACGGTGTGCGGAATACAAAAACCGATAACCAACTTACTGCCGACATCACCAAGTAGCACAAACACCACTGTTGGCCTGGTTAATGGTTATTGCATCGCATACTTCTCAGGTTTTCCAACGGCCAGAATTTCCGTCCCATAGACGTCGCACGTTGTGAACATGCCCGTATCAAGGGTACAGCACATGCTGCCGTGACCAAGTTGAATGTTCCCTCATGCAGCGCCAATCAAGCAACTGCCTAGTTACTACATCACCGGTTCGCAGCACACCGGTCTATACGGAGTAACCTCACGGCCATGTAGTATACCAGAGCCTCCACTACGGCTCTTTATGTCGCTGGTCTTCCCGGGATCACGAAGCCATCTACCGACGTCGTTCTTGGAACCGCTCCGCGAAAGGGGTTCCCTGGCGGCTGGCGGCTGCAAGGGATTGGCCAAGCCCAAGTCCCGAATTGGTGAAGATCGGCAAAATCTTCGGAGCTTTGAGGCACAAATTCTTTGGCGAGGTCACACAACAAGCATAGCCCCAAAACTTCGGAAATCGGAACAAGCATCAAGCTCCGTGGTTGGAACAGAGCCAGAGCCGGGCAAGAACAATAAAGTGTTCGGGCGGATGGTATCGCAGTGAGTTTTTTCCTTGGGCCACAGCACCTGGCAATATATGGCACTGAATGCTCCGTATGCAGGCTCATTCTCTTGTTCTTTGATTGTCTTGAAACTGTAATCAAGTCCGTGGTGCGGAAGCTACAAAGACAATCCCCCACAGGACAATCGGTCTTTCTCACAATCATCTCCGCAAGTACTGAAGGGGCAAGATCATCTGGAGGTCAAGCCAAGAACATGACTCGTGTCTGGACGGCTAAAACCATCCACCAAGCTCATATTTGGCTTACTGAGAAACGGTTTCTTTGGACATCGGGAACCAAGAGCTGATGGACGCTGCGACTATACAATGGCGTCTTGTGCTACCTGACATGCTCTGTGAAGTGACTCGATTTTAACGCCTCTAAGAAAGTCATATACTGTTATATCCGTGCCCAGTCCAAATGTCGTGTTCGAGAGTAACAGCCGCTTCTGCAACTCTTAAAGATCATCTGCTTCATCCTCTTGACTAACACGACGCCCCTTGACATTCTCCTCAACCTCGGCAACTAAACTTTCGAGGAATGCTTGATCCCTGTTTTGGCGAATTGTTTAGTTAGCAAGTCCATTTAAATGAGCAAACTTCAATCTTGCGGGGCCGGCCGCCGGGAGCACATAGGCCAGTCAGATCCCTCATTTCACGTCCAGAAGTGCAACGATTGAAGAAGTGCCTGCTTACCTGCCGACAAGCGTGACGGTGTTGCGCTTCTTGCCCCACCTAGGATAGCTTCCAACTTTGACACCTTTGGGTTCAACCCTGGCCGCCAGTTCTGTAAGATAAGCCGCCACGGCACTTTCTGGCATTGGCGTAGAAATCAAGATTCTGCAGGTTCCCTTGCCTTCAGGATCTACCAGTCTGGGGAGTATAAATGGCTTCATTCCGTCGAGTAACGCCTGGACTATATAATCGGCGTTAGACAAGCTCGAGTTTGGCAGATATTGAGAAACTCGAAGTAGGTTGGAACTTACACAGGGAGGGAACACCGGGCAATATATGAATGTTGCCATTCACAACTGAGATAGGAACCCACAGGTTGTCCGACACAAAGAGAAACTGGCTCTTCAAGTCTCGACTCTCGTCTGTCGGCAGCCTGACCATTCGTAATTTGGCCTGCAGCGCCGGAGAGTCGGTTTCCCAATCAAAACCTGGAGTGAGCGTATCGGGTCTTGAAAGCACCTTCATTTTCTGGAACGCTTCATCATGCAGCTTTAATGGCAAGTCAAACGCCTTGGCAATGGATTGGTAGGTGATGTCATCGTGACTAGAGGTCATAAACCGTCAGTCGCACACTCAGTGACTCGCAAGGCATCAAGGTGTCAGGTCACTTACGTTGGTCCAATACCGCCGCTGAAAGCCAAGCTACCAGGTCACTATCGATTCTGATTATGGCTAGGAAAAGACTGACCTGGTGACGACAAAATCATAGCGATCACTCATGCGGCGGACCGCTTCCATAATTTCGCTCTCATCGTCTTCAATGACTTCAACGCGTTTCAAGCTCTGGTCCCCAGTTAGCCCCAAGAGGTCTGTCTACCAAAGGAACGAAAAAGAAAATCTTACAATTCCAAGCGAGAAGCACCATTTGGCCAGATAGGCCGAATTGGTCTGTCCAAGTCAGTTACCACTGTAGGGGATTGTCGACGTGGTTCATTCGTGGCATGGAAGGCCGCCCGCCCACCTCGGACCACATATAAGTTATATATATGACGTACATCAACAGTCTGCCAGAGTCAGCTTCAAAAGACTCGCTCGCCATGGTGGGCTTCAAATGCAGCAAGGTCGTGTCATACCTTTCCGCCCAAAACTTCATCTCCAATAATCAAACACGCAGCACTGTGAATTGTGCGCGTACTCCTATCCTGAGACGTCGAGGCCATTCTCGAAAGCGCCGCCGCCGACGGACGCCGACGTACCTGAGCAAGTGACGGCAATGGGGCTGCCAAATGTCTTGCTAGCTGAGATAGTCGCGGCAACATGGAGGTTCTGAAGGGCGCCTTGTGTGCAATGATGCTGGAAACGGGATGATTGGGCTGTTGAAAGTAGCCATTCAATCGCCTCTCCCGTTTTTTTGGTCTCTCCGAGACAGCACCCACAATCCTGGGGTTTTCGAGCCAGTTGACCCCAGTTGACCGGTCCCAGAAATTGGCCTGGTTTCTATTTTGCGTGTGACCCGACGCCAGCGAATGCCGCGGCGAGATGCAACTTGAGCTTTGTCGGTGGCTGAAGGAGAGACGGAACATGCACGCATGTGGACGGTAACTCGAGATGCTACTCCGAAGGCAGTGTGGACAGCCGTGACATGTGGGGCCTCGACTATGCCGACTATGCCCAAGTGAGTGAGTGAGTGAGCGAGCATTCGTGAAGTTGACGGGGTCCATAATATCTCAAAGCTCAGCTCAACTGGTTTGGCGGGGCTGAGCTCTTTCGTCGTCGTCGCAAGCTTGTCTTTGGAGGCTGCAGTCGTTGCGACATTGCTCCGGGGGCAGAAGAAACATCTGCGCCTTCTCTCGAACCGCTTGGTGGTAACTTGCAACCAGCATTTTATCATGGTATGACGCCTTTGCGCTGTGCTCCTCCCGAGTCCTCCGTTGCCTTGAGATCAAGGCCTGCTGATGCAATTCACCCCGCTTCAAAGGCCTCCGAATCGAGATTGTACACCTTTTCCGGTGAAACCAAGGAACACCTGCGCAAGTTCCGACTGACCACATCGAGAGCCAAGGATCCACAGGCTGTTATCTGTACGCATCGCCCGTTTGAGCCGAGCATCCAGGGATTTGCCGTCGGCCAGCTGACATGGCGTCGGTAGATATGATTGATAAGAACACACACGAGATCCGACAAGCCCTCGACGACTACGACGAAGCCCGAGTCTACAAGTCTCTCAAGGAGGTTGCTGAGGATTTGCCGGATCACACGCCACGGTTTGTTCTGCTCAGCTACCCCATCACAACGGTACGTTCCTCATCCCGTCGTGTTTCACCATGAGGGTAGGACTCGGACTGATACACCTACCTCAAAGTCCGACGGGCGACTCTCAGTACCCTACGTGCTGCTATACTACCTTCCAATAACCTGCAATGCCGAGGTGAGAATGCTGTACGCCGGCGCAAAGGAGTTGATGCGAAGCACGAGCGAGGCGGGCAGCGTCATTGATATCGAGTCGGTGGAGGACCTCGAAGAGATTCCCGAAAAGCTGGCTAGCAAATAGCCTAGCAAAAAGCAATCCAAGTATACAACAAAACGAATACTCTGATGGCGTGAAGTGGCATGTAAAAGCAGAAGAGAAAAAGCAATAACAATAGGGTTTGTAATATCATTTCAGCGAGTATTATTTGCATATATCATCAATCTATGTCATAGTTCTATTCGTCATCAGGTAACACGTTGGTTGTATCCAAGCCCAGTTGGCTGGCCACCTTCTTCACCACCTCTTTAAACGCCAGACAAGCCGGGCTGTCCGGGAACGAATCAAAATAACTCTCTCCGTAATCGCAAGCCATCCGGATCCTCGGGTCCAAAGGCACAGCGCCGAGGAACGGAATCCCCATCTCCTCTGCCAGACCTTTGCCGCCGCCGGTGGTAGGTCTGAATATTTGACTCTCGCCCTTGCAGTTGGGACACACGAACCCGCTCATGTTCTCCGCCAATCCCAGTATCCTAATGCCCGCCTTGCGACAAAAGTCAATCTCCTTGCGTACATCCAGCAGCGAAACTTCCTGCGGGGTCGTTACCACGACAGCGCCATCAATCCCACTCTCCTTCAAGAAGGAGTTGACGCTCAGGTGCTCGTCGCTCGTGCCCGGCGGCGTATCGACCAGCAAGAAGTCCAGCTCGCCCCATTCCACATCCTTGAGGAACTGCTTAATCAGGCCATTCTTCTTGGGCCCCCTCCAGATGACGGCATCGTCTCGATTCGGCAGCATGAACTGGATGCTCATCACGCCCAAGTTATCCATCACCCACACCGGCGACCAGCCGGAACCGCTGACGTGAATCGTCTCGTCTTCCACCCCCATCATCTTGGGGATGCTGGGCCCGCAAATGTCTGTGTCCATGACGCCCACGTTGCTGTCTGGGTTGGTGGCAAAGGCATGCGCGAGCAGGGACGTGAATGTGCTTTTGCCCACCCCGCCCTTGCCGCTGAGCACGAGGATCTTGTGCTTGACATTTTCGAGGCGCGCTGATATGAGGGGGATGTCTGGGTCTGGGCCCTTTGGCGCGGATGCGCAGATGGATTGGTTGGGACAGCCGGCGCAAGAGTCCGCTCGACCTGCTTGTTGTGATTCCGGGCCGGGACAGTGCTCCGGCTCCGGGGCGACAAGTTGTGGCTTTTGTTTGAGAGGGTTGGCGAGGACGTCGGATACTGGCTCTGGCTCCTCGAGGGACGGTGCCATCACGACGTTTGTTTTTCGGTGTTTTCAGGAGGTTGTGGTGATGTTGCGATTATAATAAAAGTAGTCCAGCAAAGAGAGCGTGGCATTGTGTCGTGGTTGAGGCTTAATAATGCGGGCGGTCCGATTTGGAGACACGACTAGTATAGTACGTAACCACGTAACCTGGTTCCTTTTGGGAAGAGAGCACAACAGCCACACAAATAATTAGCCCATCACAGTGGACAATTCACTGCCTTAAAACACACGTGTTCCCCGGACTACCGTACAATACAACAGCATGCGTATCTCATGACGGGGCATGATCTTGGTATCGTCTAGGGTAGGTAGTGGCCTATGATACACCTGCTTACCACGAAAAGAAGACGCTAATCCGAAGTTTTGTCTCCCAGCTATTCGTCCTTACTTGACAGAACACGGACACTCAGTTGGAAAAAAACGGAAGGCACAAATCATTGATTCTACCGATTTACAGCAAAACATCATTCTTGACTGCAATAGCATAATAGATACAAAAAAATATGATGCCTTAGCAGGTTCCAGGGGGAGTCGAACCCTCGCTGGCGGAATCAGAATCCGCAGTCATAACCGTTAGACCATGGAACCGATGGAAGCGGTTGGCCGCTTCCCATGGTTGGTTGTGAAGACGGGCCTTAATTTGTTAGATATAGCATTCAACGCTTGATGCCCCGACTCGCGGCGGGATGCATTCTTATCGCGTATCACCCCACCTAAATTTTTCTTTCTTGGCTACGGAGTTACGACGAGGGCCGCCGCATGATTTGGAGGGGCAGTCGTCGCTAAACCGCCTTCAAATTTCGCATTGCCAGTACTTCAGCTTTCTCCCTGCCGACGGTGAAATCGACAAGTTGCCTTTTCCAACATGGCAGACGCTACCGTTCAGAGCCTACGGGAGAGCCTGTGCTCCGAAGCCACCCCGCTACCAGTCCGGTTCCGAGCCCTCTTCTCGCTCAAGCACGTCGCGCGAACTGGAGAGCCTGCCGCTGCTGTGGCCGCTATCGAGGCTATCGCAGCTGCGTTTGCATCGCCGTCGGCTCTACTGAAACACGAACTGGCTTATTGCCTCGGACAGACCGCCAACGATGCGGCGATTCAGCCGTTGCGAGATGTGCTCTCGGATCTGAAGGAGGACCCCATGTGCAGACACGAAGCTGCTGAGGCTCTGGGCGCGCTTGGCAAGCCCGACAACTTGGAGCTGCTGAAGTATTTCCGCGATCGCGAGGGCGAAGACGTTGTCATTACTGAGACTTGCGAGATCGCCATCGATCGGATAGAGTGGGAGAACTCAGAGATGCGCAAGCAAGAAAAGTTACGACAGAGGTCGGTCACTAGTGCTCGGCCATGTTTATGAAGGTTATATCTCGTATTTCTAACCAAAATATAGCGATTTTGCCTCGGTTGATCCCGCGCCGCCCCTGCCCGAATCGGAAAAGAACGTCGAACAGCTGGGCAAGCAGCTTATGGATACCACACAGCCTCTCTTTATGCGCTACCGCGCCATGTTCGCCCTGCGTGACCTTGCCTCACCGCCCGACTGCGCGACCGCCGTTCCTGCCGTGCTTGCCCTGGCAAAAGGGTTTGCCGACTCTTCTGCTTTGTTTCGCCACGAAATTGCTTTCGTCTTTGGACAGTTGTCACACCCCGCTTCTATTCCTGCTCTTACGGCTGCTTTGAGCAACTCCGAAGAGGCTAGCATGGTTCGTCACGAGGCTGCTGAGGCGCTTGGAAGCCTCGGGGAGGAAGAGGGCGTAGAGGAGACACTGAAGCGATTCCTTCACGATAAAGAGAAGGTCGTCCGAGAAAGCGTCATCGTTGCATTGGATATGGCAGAGTATGAGCAAAGTGGTAACGCTGAATATGCTCTAATACCGGAAGCAGCAAGTGCTTCTGCATAAAAAAAAGTAAACGCTTTATATAGAATAAAATAGCCCGCCAAAAAAAATGCAATACCAAAAAGACGCTAATTGTTCTCGTGCCACCTGGTAAAATGGAAGTTAGTACGACGCAGCGATGCATCATCAGTGGGAGGGGGATGGCACGAACGAGTGACCGCATTCACAGTTGTAAATGAGCGTTGAGCCTTCATCAGCACTACGAAGCTGCACATTGGTATATGTGACTTCTTCTCGTCCGCATTTGGGGCACCGTTCTTGCACTGTGCTTGAGGTCTTAAGCTTGTGTCTCTCTACAGCTTGGACGTTGGACTGCAATTTTTGCCGCAGGAAAGACGGAAAGTCTGACGGCTTGGACTGCGTGACGATGACTTTTGAGCCAGTGTCTACGCGCGAACCAATGGGTTAGTGCTTGTACATATCAAGTTTGGGTAAGAGTGTGGTCGTCGCAAACCTTTATTCCAAGCATCGCAGCATTCGCACTTCAGCGAGTTCTTCTCCGTGCCTTGGGTAGCCGGAAGAAGATTCCCGCAGTCAGTACAGAAAACGAGGGAGCCTATGGCAGCCATTGAATCTTGTTATAGAGAATACTGATGGTTGTCTGCAACTGCTGATTGAACACTCGAATAGACCAAGATAAATTTCGGCGCAAAGCCTCTCTTGTGTTCTTTCTGTATCGGAAAAAGCCTACCATCTATTATTTTGATAAGCCCATCTTTTTTGCTTATCGGATAAACGATAAGGCAAGGGACGGCACACGTCGTGCAAGGAAAAACCTGTCATTGGTTGGATGTGGCATGTCATGGGTCCACGGCAGGACCCATGCAGGACGAGGTCACTGGTTACCTGAGCCTCCCAGGCGTGTTCGAGCCTGTCGCAATTGTCCGAGACTTGTTGAGGACGAAGCTGGAGTCTCATCATCAAATTCCGCTCACTTTTGGCTAGGCATCGCATTGCTGTCCCCCTTTTGCGCATACACTCGTATTTATTAGAGAATAGTGTTGCTTGTTTATTGTTCTTTCTGTCTGTCTCGCTAATCTTAGTTGTCAGCGCCGGAATTGACTAGCTCATATTGTCTCGCAGCATCGCTCCTGCCTCGATGCGACGAAACCGGACGGCTCCTTCCCTCGGCCATGCCTGAAGAGCGGCCCTATTGTGACGACCTACAATATGGATAACATGGCCCATTACAACACCAACGGCCCTAAGAATGGGGTCAAATCTGTTCAGGGCCCTAGAGAACAGAACGACGTATCGCGACCATTCACGCTGCAGGAGTCGTTGCCTTATTCTCCGCAGACATCTACAGTACCTTTTCTACCTGGTAAGGACCTCGGATTTGTAATGACGCTATTCGGTGGATTATATGAGGGGCTTGAATTCCTGACACAACAGTTAGACATCATCCCGGACCCAAGCGTCGGATCTGGATCACCATCGCTTCCAATCTCGGACTTGTTCTCAACGCAAGATTATGATAGAGTGAACCAGGAAGCTACGAGCCAGCCACACGGTGCAAAGAACCTGAAGCAAACAGTTGATCATGTTTTGCATGATTTGAAACCGTCAAAGCGAACCCAGTAGTCAGTGGAAGAATTCTCATGCTCATCGTATGCTATGCTAACCATTGCTAGTAAATTTCCCACTGTGCCTAACGGAGCGCCATCAAGCTCGGCGGCATCGACTCACAATAGAAGCATTTCTCAAAGTCTCTCACCGATAGCCAAGGCGGTATACGAACGAGTGGGCAGCTTCTTCAAGGCCACGAAGCCAAATATCAGCAGTCCTAAGCTGGTGAACGGAGAAACAGAACAGCCTTTGAAGTTGGCTGCCGACTCAGTATCTCAAAGTCCAACAATTCGTGTGCAATCGCAAAGCGCGGCAAAGAATAACGCAGGTAGTGG